AGAGACTGTTGAGGAATGAGGAGATTGATAGGAAAATGTGGAAGCAGGGCTGAAGCTTCGGGAAGATGAAGGCGATCGATGCGGAGTTGGTGTCGATTAGGCTAAGCGTTTAGTCTCTTTTTGAAATAAAGAGTACAAAGTGAAAAATTGAAAGTTAAATATGAAAAGTATTATGTTGGTGGACATAAATGATACGTTAAGTATAATTGTACACCATGTGGGTAATTTGCACTACATTATTTTGCTCTGCCACTTGGTAACCCGAGGCCATTATTCCCCACTTGCCCACTTGGTATCGTGTAAATGTGTAAATGGCAACAATATTACCTCTCAACTTGTATTGGACAAAAATATGACCACATTTGAAAAAGACACAAATATGACCGAAGCTCTTCCGCTTTAATTTTAACGCTAACCTTCGTTTTCAACTTTATCTCTTCCGCACAGCTCCTCCTCCGCACGGCCCCTCCTCCGCACAGCTCTTCCGTCCACTTCCGCACAACTCCTCCTCCAGCGTTGAAGACTCCAGATCTTCGATTCCAGCCCACCGCCTCCATCTTTCTTCTCTGCAATCCATATTTCTTCTCTGCGGCTCAGAATGCAGTTGCCCATGCACCTTCGGAGTTGGCCATCGCACTTCCTCAGTCTTCCATCGCGCCACCGCAGTCCGCCATCTCACGGCGGTGAGAGAGAGCTCGTGTTTCGGCCAGATCCATCGTGTACTGGAGCTCGTGTTCGGCCAGATCTGTTGGATTGTCGTGGCTATAGGGGACGGCAAGGCAGGGGATGTTTGTTTTCCGGTGCTGGGGCGCTGGGATGGGGGGTTTCCGGTGGTGGGGCGTTGGGATGGGGGTTTGCCGGTGGTGGGTGTTATGATGGGGGTTTTCCGGTGGGGGCATTGTGATGGGGGTTTTCCAGTGGGATGAGAGAGCTCGTGTTCGACCAGATCTGTTGGATTGTCGTTGCTAGAGGGGGCAGCGAGGCGGGGGATGTGGGTTTTCCGGTGTTGGGGCGTTGGGATGGGGGTTTTCCGTGGTGGGGCGTTGGGATGGGGGGTTATCTTGTGGTGGGCGTTTGGATGGGGGTTTTCTGGTGGTGGGGTGTCTGGTGGCGGTGGTTGGTGGTGGCCGGAATTGTTGCGGTTCACCGTGAGTCAATGTTGTGGCGTCACTGTGGTGGCGTCACTATGGTGGCGTCACTGTGGTGACGTCACTGTATCGTTGTCACTATGGCCGGCGACGGTCTCAGGCCGGCGACGGTCTCAGGCCAGCGGGGGTCACCGGTCGGAGGTGGTGGGTGGTGGTGGTGGATGTCACTGTATCTCATGTCACTATAGCGTTTCACCGTAGAATATCACTATAGAATGTGGGTAAAAAGTAAGCTTATTAATTACTAGTCACATTTTTGGAATTTTTAAAAAAGGTCACTTTTTGTCAATTGGCTCTTTATTACTAATATTCAGGTCAAAAACCCTACTTTATTTATTTTACTGGAACTTTGAAGTTGCTTGAATATCCACATTCAATTATTGAGCTACCGGTGGGCGTAGCTGAACTGGTAGCAAGAGAGTGTCACAAGGGTTAGGTCCTGGATTCGAATCCTGACAACTGCGATGAGGGTTACTATGCTAAAAATGCATAGGGTCCCTGCAAGTACCGGGGACAGAACCCCACTCTCTATCTATCTGATTGAGATTATAGTCCAATTTATATCATCTGTACCGTCCGGTTGGGGTTGGGAGGCCCTCAAGGATGGGGTGTCATCCTTTTTTATTCAATTATTGAGCTTGTTAATTATATTTGAGGATTAGATGGTGTGATGTTGAATGATAAACGTTTTTAAAAGTATATCGAAGTAAAATCATTATTTTGGTTGTTGAGTGTTACTAGTAATGTAGTTATCTACTTCCTCCGTCTCAATATAAAGTCATAGTTATTTTTATCATATGTAGTAATCTGGTTATGTATTTCCTACGTCTCAATATAAACTTTCAAATAGACTCTCTGATGTGAATTACGAAAATGAGATTTATGTGAAATAGATAATTGTGCAGAATAGAGAAAGAAAAATAGAAGTGTGAAAGAAATATTGTTAATCACGAATTTCATACTAAAGAAAAGAAAGAGGTGATTATGTTGAGACAGACCAATTATTTTTAAAGATTAATGTGAGATAGAGGGAACATTACTTAATAACCAATTTTTGTTTTTAAATCTTCCAATTATTTGTTGATTTGATTATTTAGAGATAGCTCAAACTATCACTAAAATATACTAACAAATTTTCTAAATAGAAATAAGTACGCTTTTTACACATAATATGATTTATTTAATCATATTAAAGGAAAAGAAGAAGAAAACCCCCTAGGTGAGATTGTATATGTCTATTTTGAGAAGAAAAACGTTTGCACACATATTTAAGAAAAATTGATTTGTTTAACTCTTAAGGATTTTTTCTTTCTAAAAGACTTAAATTAACTTTCTAAAATAACGTTTTCAAATAGAATTTTTGCGTACATTAATCATTTAAACTAAAATTTGGAAGCATAAAGGTTACTTTTAACTTTTTGTAGAATCACTTTTCACTTTTCGCTTTTCACTTTTTAGAATCACTTTTCACTTCAAACACTATGATAGTGTACTTTGTACTATTAGACATTTTTCTTTTAATGAATGTTTGTGTTTGTTTCTACTTTTGAAAAATAAATTATTTTTGAGATTCCATTAAATGTACTTAAATTTAAAAGTTGAAAAGAAAAATGATTTTGGAAGTTAAAAGTTAGATTTTTTGGTAAAAGCCCTTGTCGATGAACTGTCTAAGAAAATGAACCCCGTTTTCTTAGAAAATCCTTAAAGCCCTCGTCGATGAATTGTCAACCGTTGTTCATGATAATATGCCCGGGGATGCTGAAGCGTTGGTGATGATGTTCCGTGATGCGATCGGGAGGGGGTCAAGGACATATATACCCCCATCTGACAAATGGTATGGACATCGTCTACAGGTGTAGAAACTCGTGGGCCTCCATATGACCGAGGCAATCCACTAACATGTCAAGCATTTGCCAGTACGATGCTTTCGAGTATTTTTCCATTATTACGGTTGTGGGCGATGGGTAAGACATTCTAGACAGGGGCCAGTGTCTTCTTATAAAGTTGTATGTCTATAAGCTCGAAACTCGATGTTGGTGTTTTGAGAAGCTTAGCTCTGACATCGTTTTCTAGAAGTTGGTTGTTTTGTACTTTCATTTGTAGGCAACCGGCTCGGACACCCAATAAGGTTCTTCGGAAAATGATACCGTGTTTATAAGTTCGACCAAGATTTCGCACTATTATGTGACTTTAAGGCAAAGGTCCTGGCCGAGGTGCTAGTCCTGACACACTGGACGATGCATTTCGAGCCTGACCAAAATGAAGAAAGCTTGACGACTAGGCTCCACTTAACGCGAAGGGACCTGACAACCAGGAGAATGGAAGAGTATCACTGCATGGTCTATCCATCAAGAGATGAATGAGACATTCGAGGCTCGGACCATGAAATGTGCTCCTCCCATGCTGAAAAAGGCCAGATAACCCTCATTGCATTGTAGGCACAACCGAGAAGTAATCTTATTGTATGCTTAATAATAGACCTAGCATTATCTTATTGTATGCTTAATAATATTGGAATTATATTGTAACGATAGTTGGTGGAGTATATTGTCACATATCCCAAGACAATAATCCAAGTCACTTATGAGGCCGAGATCACGCCCAAAGCTTTGCTCTGCCTTGGTGGGCCCATTCTATTTTGGATCGAGCTACTCCAGTGAGGCCAAGTATGGTGACTAAAGCTCCAGTATTTCGCACTGACGTTAATGAACGAGGCTGAATGGACCTAATCTGCCTCAACTGAGCTATTGTTTTGACATTTAGCCGTTTGACAGGCATTCCAATACGCATATCCAGGGCTAACACTATAGTTAAGATCACCGTGCAATTTCCAAGAGCTAACGTGATGCTACCTCACCATTGACATCGTTATTAACACCTCACATTATAATCATGTCACTAAGTGTGTTCCCCAAGTATTCTAGTGATACCTATCATTTCTTCATTACCTATCATTTTGGACTGAACGACTTTTATGTATTGTTATTTTGCCAAATTTATTATACATATTACGTACTCTAGATTTACTTCCATCAATAGAACACTTGAAATGTGTCATTGCAAGTATTTTGAAATGCACCAAAGAGACTACACAAGAACCCTCGTGGTGTCCTACCCGGATAGCTTGGCGCCGCTCTGATAATCAGGTAAACATTCGGCCAGTTTTGAAACTGTGGTCACCCCTAGGGTCAATAACTTGGTGATAAAAGTAAATCAACAACCATTCAGCTCCAATAATGGCGATTTCATAGCTCTATTTGACACATACTCTTTTCATCCCTTATAACTTTGTCAACTTTCTTTTTCTGGTTGTTACAAAAACTTTGTATCTTTCCATTTTAATCAATCAATTTGTGACTCCTGTTATTTCTCTCATCTGCACAAATATTTACCACACATTTTTACTTTATTATTCTGTGTCGGTCAAACTTAGCAAACATTTAAGGGACAGAGGGAGTAGTATTAACTAGTCTTTTGATAAACAAACTTGGAGTACAACATTCCTAAACATCTCTCTAAGCAATGATTTAAGAACCAGGAGTTTCAAACTTCAAACAAAAACGCAAATGGTTCCACTACTTCCCTAACAGAAGTTTAGCATCTTGACCGACACTGAACCGCTGATTGCAATCAAACCCACCTGCCGCCGCTATGTACGGCTGATCCGTCAATTTCAAAACAACCCCTTTAACTGAATATAATAAGTATGCCCAAAATCTCCAAGTTAAGGACCTACAGATTTTTTAAAATAGAATTGTTCTCTATGTGGAGGAGCATTCATGTCAAAGTTTTTACTTGTATAGCTGAACAGTGTGATTGACCAATATCTAGTAGACTAATATGTAGTATGGAGTAAAAACATAATGGACTAGACAGTAGACACTAAAAACACTCCATATTAAATGTGACCAATAGGTTGGTTTCATATTTGCATCACATATCTTGAAATGTCAGCTTGGAGATTTTTTGCAGCTTCAATAAATTTGCTCTCTCCTTTTTGACAATTCATTCATGGAGAAACACACATTATGTGAGTCACATAGCTTAGTTTTTTAAGTCCCAAGTCTATGTTGCATTTACAATTGGATAATCACAAGCATTTGTAATGGCAATTGACAAACTTGAAAGAAAAAAAAAACTTTTGTTGGAAGTAAAAACCCACTGCTTAATATCATCCACCTTTCTTCCTCCCCTCTCATCAGCTTCTCCCTTATGGAAACTCAACTATACACAAATCTTTTCCAGAACTCAAGGCCAGCGTTGCTAATCATATAATCCTTCTTGCTCCCATACATCCACAAGAAAATCAACCATTTCCTGTCATGCCAATTGTACATGATTGTGTCTGATAAATTTAAGCAGAGAAGGAAACATGCATATAATGTTGCTTATAAGACCTGAGTTCTGTGGGCAACATCATACGAGGTGCAACACCATTCTCAAGATCAAACATTTCATATGGATCATGAAATTGATATTTTTTTCCCATCTGTTCATGTATCATCATCGATTGTTCAAGCGTCGATTAATCGTAACGGGCATCATTTTTTCATTTGTTTTCATTGGAGGCCACAACATGACTGTAGAACAGGTTGGCTCTCATATCATATATGAAGACCTAGAATTCTCATCTTAAAAGTAAACTTGATGGAATGAGTAACATAATATCTTATGAGTTGGTTTGCTATATCATACTACTTCCGTCCCTAAAAGAACTTCCAATTGGGGTTTACGATGTTTGACCAACGATAAAGTTAAACGATTCCTGTCAACACTCAGATTATTTTTAGTAAATAAATTTTACATATTTAGAAAGAAACTACATTAAAAACTCTACAAAGTCGCAAAAAAAATCAAATAATAAAATTTTGATATATAAAGTAAAAGGTTAAGAGTGATTTAAGTTAGCCAAGTGAATAGTGGAATGAAAGTTCTTTTGGGGATGGAGGGAGTATTTGACTAGTGCTGGACAAATCTTCAAGACACAACTGTATATTGAGATTTGAGACTTAGGTTCCAACTTCCAAGTCACCCTATATGAGAACTAGCACAAAAACATTAAGTTGGTGTGTATTGTTATATATTTTACAAATGTGATGGCTTCACAATGCATGCATACATCTCAAACACATGTGATACAATGCGATTCTGGGAACTTACTGTGAGAGGAATTGGACGAGGAAAACATTTGTTAGTGCCGAGTAAGCTTTCATAAGTAGCATTCCAACTGAAAATGACAGATTTGGAATAATATTAGTAGGAATTTAAAACAGGGAAAATACTACAATACACCTACTCATGTTTGCTTTGCCAACTTGAACAACTAGACATCAATGAAAAGTTATAAATGCATATTAAACAATAAAAGAACAATTCAACATAAGTAAAAAAAACCCATGTTTGCCACACTAGTTTTTCGATTATAGTTTTCCATCCATGCTTTTTTGAAAAAAAGACATGTATATTACTAATAAAGTTTCTCCGAACAAAAATATGACTACGTATGTTTTTGGAAAAAAATATGACTAGTCATTGTGTACAAGTAACTGGACAAAAGTCACTATTGTGTATTTCAGAATGACAAGTTACTGGGGAACTAGTCACTCAATATGTCACTTTTTTGGAAAAAAATTAAAGTACGTCATATTTTTGTCTTCTGAATTTAATTTAGTAATATTCATGGGAAAAAGCCTGCTATTTATTCTTTCCACTTCTAGATAATGACAGGGACTACGAATAACTGGAAATTGCCACAGATATTCCCCTTGATGAGTTACTGTGATACAAACGGGCAACATTCATGGTTAGGCTTGAACTCAGTGGAGTAGCTAGGGGACTAACAGTCTAACACACTTCCTGCTAACCCCAAGTCCCTATTTTGATAAAAAACTTTTTTTGAGTTATCTTTTTGTTAGGATGCACATGGGTCCTCCGGTCCTGACTACATTTAATCACAGCCTTTCATTTTATTCAATCATTGGTAGGATGCACATGGGTCCTTTGTGTAATTATTCAAAATTAAAAAGGGGTCTATTTGTAAATATATTGTAAATTTATTAAAAAATGCCACCTTGTTGATTCTAACCCTTGATTCGAAATATGAAAGGTGGAGATTAAAGTTCCCATTTCTAAATGAGTTCTCATTTTAAAAGGGGTTCTCATTAGAACCCTCCCCTTTATATGTATGAATTCTATTTCCTGTCACCTCAATTCAAATTTCTAAGATGCCCTAACAACAGTGAACAATAGAATCATACTCCCTCCGTAACACTCATATCTTCCCACTTTCCTTTTTTAGCTGTAACATTCATATCTTCCCATTTCTAAATCTTCCTATCATACCCTCAATAATTTTAAAAATAATACACTATTACAACTACTTTTTTTGGATTTATTCTTCATTCCAGCACACTATTTCATTATCTTCCCATCATACCCTCAATAATTTTTATCTCCTTTCACTATTCTTAATCTCACCTACTTTTCAAATGGGAAGATATATATGTTACGGAGGTAGTAAGAGTTAAGACAATGCGACAATGCGACAACACGTTCATTAAACTCGCATAAACGTTTTCAATTTTTCATGCACCAGAAGAATCAAGAGTGGCAAGAAATTCTTACTCATGCACCAAAAACTGAAAAGAAGGAACCAAAAGTGTGGATAACTAAGTAACTAATAGTTGTGTTAACAAGAGTGGAATTCTTTTATAAAAGCATTCATCTTGTCTTGAGTTTTAAGAGAGATGCATAATAAAATATGAATTTTTTTAAGGGGTGCATCTAAGCATACTAAATTGCACATGAGTTTACTCGCGCATTTAATAATGTGGGCACATTAAAATATGCTCACAAGTGCTCCTTATAAGGATACTCATATGAGGTTCTCACTTTAGTACTGGCTCCTGAACTTTTCTTTTGGTGTCCGGTTCTTTACTCTGAAGCCACTGTAGCCTGGTCTGGTTCCAAAGAAGATATCCTGAAACTCAGCATAGAAGTTAAAATAATGCTACCTCTCATGGGAAATATATGTTCGTGGGGTGTTTTTTTGGGGGCGAGGGGTCTTATAATATTTCTAAAACAAAAACTACAGACCACAATACAACTGCACAATCTCTACAGTCACACAAAAGCATCAGTCACTGCGATCTTGATGTCATATTTTTGTGCACTACTTTTACTTGAGTCATATGTTTGTAATTTTCTCTCCATTACGAATTGAGGAAAGGTTCCGAAAATAAAGAGAACTTGCCATGATTTACAAATTCAGGATGGTGGCTAGTGTTTCCTGAGCCACAATTCTGATCATTGGTCGGATTAGGCGGGTTCGAAATACTGATCGATGAAAAACTTCTTTGAGATTGAGCAGTGCTGTTTTCCATCTCAATTGTGCTGCTGCTCCAGAAATCTTCAGATATGCTATTACGCCTTTTCACCAATCTCCCTTGAATTCGAAGTCCTTTTGATGGCTCATCCACTGCTGTTATTGGTCGAGATTTTCCACAGCAACCAAAGCAGCCACTGCTCTGTATCATTCAATTTTATTTGCATACACAATACATACATAGTGACAACATGGTGTATGTCTTCATGGTTAATAGACCATGCATATTCTAAAAAAATTAAAAGGGAAAAGGTATAACATGCACTTTATTAGTACGGAGTATTATATATGCACAAATAGACATCATGAATGAAAGAACTATGTAAGCATTGACCAAAATTTGAGCATAAAATGCTTTAAAACAAATTAATTTCGTCAACATATGTCATATGTACACTGCATACTTTCCCATATCAAAATGAAGTTCTTAGTTTCACTTTCGACCATTATTAATAGTTTTATATTTATATACTCCCTCCGTCCAATTTTGGTTGTCCTACTTTGTTTTTTGGGTTGTCTCAAAATGAATGTCGTGTTTCTTTTTATGGCAAGAAATATGTAGTTCTTATCATTTCACTTTATTCTACTCAACCACAACTTTTACTTGTCAACCACTTTATTAATAATCTTGCCAAATAAAAACAGGACAGCCAATATGGGACGGAGGTAGTAATATATTATTATTAACAAATATATATTAAAAAAATAGATCACTTTTCAGGTTCTTCATATTCTTTACACACTAAACTCTCTCTCACCTTTGCGCACAATCAGAGTTCAACCATATGCTTCCTGATTGCTCATCATATTCTAATCTTATAAAGAACATATCATATTGCACCGTTTCACACTCATTAAAAACTTGAGGAATATTTCAGAGATGGAGAGTTGATAGATGTTAGAATATACATATTTAATAGTCAATATATTCTATGTATATATAAGGTAGCTAATATATTCTCTGCGATAGACTAAATCATTTTCATTTCATTTTCATTTACCCCAGTGCCGCAAAGGCTCCCACCTACGGTGGGGTAAGGGGGGGTCGGATGTACGCAGTCTTACCCCTATACTAAAGCACAGAGAGACTGTTTCCGGATGACCCATAGTGAAAATCGCGTCCAAAATTGCATGGACTGACTGCTGCTTCTATACAAAGAAGCGCAAACAGTTTAGTGAGCCATTTTGCTTTATTCCATCATAATCTCAAGCCAAAAAATAATGAATCTTTGGCTCCATTGAAATTGTATGTATTTATACTGGTCATACCTATTGATAATCAAGTGTGATTTCATTGCATCTTTAATCCCTGTTACTCAGTTTACATGGTATCAGAGCCACACAGGTTCTTCGGGTAGTACTTCCCGAAGTTTGATCTGCTCTCTCCCTCTGGTTCAGTTCAGCCTTCTTTTGTGCGACGCAGGACGTTGTTCGCAGGCGCAGGCGTGGTAATCCGGATAGTGCAGCACAGTTGTCGCAGGTCTGATTTTCTGGACACTATCTGCACCAGTTCTCTTACCCTGTTCTTGTTATCACTCTTGCCCTAGTTGTTTGCAAGCATGGGTGATGATAAGAAGAGCGTAACTGAGATTACGGTCGGTAATGATAGAATTACAGAGAGAAAATTGACTGGTGGTAAAGATTACGGGCAGTGGAAACGGGCTATTACAAGTTATGCTAATAGTCTTGATCTGGGAGATCATCTAACTGAAATGGCTCCTCCAAAAAGTAATCCTGATGAAAGAAAGGAATGGATGATGGCCGATGATAGGTTGTTCAATCAAATTCAGAATACCCTGGATCCCTCTATTGATAGTATCATTACTCATTAGCAAGAACAAATACTGATGTTAAGAGTATGCAAGAACAAGAGGAGCGAACATTTGTTCATGGTGTTTTGGCTGGGCTTGGTCCACAATATGAGGTATCGAGGAGTCAAATACTCTCTGGTGGGACCCTTCCTAGTTTTTCTGACCTCTATGGACGTTTCCTTCCAATGTGCAAAGATGGAGAATCCAGAATGATGAACTCGATTGATACTATTGCCTTAGTCAGTGATGTGAGCCATGGTAAAAGGACCAATTCAGTCACTACTGAAGGGACTCGTAACTCTTATCGCACATGTTATCACTGTGGAGCTGAGGGTCATGTGAAGAAGAATTGCTGGAAATTACATGGTCGTCCACCACAGACATCTGGACAGTTTCCTCCCAGGCGTGTTGCTAACACAGTTATCGAGGATGGTATCCTACCAACTCCTTTGATAGACATTCAACTCAGCTACCTGTTAAATATTATGATAAAGTTTACACACGGAGGAAGGGGAGGGTAGCTTTTAATTAGCCAATTATTTAGTTATGTTATTTTGTCCCTGCGTGGACACGTGACTATAAATAGTAACCTAGTTTCTATTTCTGAGTAGGCTGTATTTTCTGTTGGGTAAGGATTTGGAGACTGGGCATCTCGAATAAGCCCATGAGCACTGTATCCCCGTGATCTGTTCAGTTGGAGGAATAAAGCCATTACGATCTATTCCTTCCATTTCTCTGTGCTTCTTTTATTGGTTGCTTTGCAGATTCCAGTGATCTATCATTGGTATCAGAGCATACCCCCTGGGGATCGCAATCCAAGGTCGAAGACAACTGAGCTCTCGTTTTTAGTTGTGGATGGTAAAAACGAGATCTAAAATGGAGCATCGCATGGAGGCTTTTGAGCAGGAGATGAGGGCCACCATCGCGAACCTCACTTCCGCGATGAATGAACAGATCCAGAATAGCATCGCAACATCGATGGCGGCTTATCAGAACAGGAGCGAACATGTCAGGGGAAGGTCGCGATCACCTCATCACCATCGCGCGCGACAACCGCCCAGCCAGTCTCATTCGAGAGGTAATTCTGTACACTCCCCCGTCTCTGCTCACCGTGTTCGAACGGGTAGGAAGGTGGATCTGCCGTTGTTCAATGGGGAGGGAGCGTATAACTGGATAGTAAGGATGGAACGCTATTACAGATTGAATGGGATTGAAGAGGAGGATAAGGTAGAAGTATCGGTTGTGGCCATGGAGGACAGGGCTTTGAATTGGTTCCAATGGTGGGAACATCAGGCTGAGGAAAGAACTTGGGAGAATTTGAAGGATGTTGTGATCCGTAGGTTTCAACCGGACTTGATACAAAATCCGTATGGTCCTATGCTCAGTTTAAAACAAAATGGGACAGTAAAAGAGTAAAGGGAGGAGTTTGACATGGTTATAGCTCCGCAGAAGGATATTGACAGAGGTATACTGCGAGGCATTTTTATCAATGGCCTGAAGGAGGAAGTTAAAACAGAACACAAACTCTATAATTCCAGATCCCTATCTGCTATCATGGATAGGGCTTTACTGATTGAGCAGAGAAATGAAGCTGTGTATGGGAGGAGTAAAATTGCAGACATAAATGAAGGGAGGAACAAGGGGCCTATGCAATATAGATCCCCAGTTTGGGGTGAAGGGTATAAAACCAAGTCTGGGAGTTCAGGGAACCCGACTGGAAGCAGAAATACTGGAGAAGCTAAAGGGAACCCAACTTGGGTCAATCACATGGGGGCGAAGGTGACGGAAATAAATCCCTCAGGGATAAGAAGGGTAGCACCTTAACTGTCTCAGGAGGAATACCAAGAAAGGAGTAGAAGAGGACTGTGTTTTAAATGTGGGGATAAATGGAGCAAAGAACACACCTGCAAGATGAAAAATTATAAATTAATTCTGCTGGAAGATTCTGAAGAGGAAGAGGAATTAGAGGTGCTGGAACCTGAAGCTGAAGAAGAGGAAGTGGCTCACATGGAGTCTAAATCCATGCAACTGTCTGTGATAAGTAAGGAAGGGATCCCCTCACTGAGGGCTTTCAAGGTGCAGGGCATATTAAAGGGGTCCAAGGTGAGAAACAGGTGGAAGTGTTGATTGATAGTGGGGCCACCCACAACTTCATATCACAAAAATTGGTGGATCAATGGGGAATACCTTATCAAACTATTCCGGGTTACAAGGTGCAGATAGGGAATGGTGATAAGGTAACCAATAATGGCAGATGTGAGGATCTGGTTCTCATAGTACAAGGCACTATTATCCAGCAGACTTTCTATATACTAGAACTTGGGGGAACTGACTTAGTCCTTGGAATGGAATGGTTAACCACATTGGGGGATGTAGAAGTGAACTTTCGGAAACAAAGAATACAGTGGCAGCAGTTGGGGACAAATCAGATCATACAGGGAGAACCCCAACTAAACTCTATTGAAATCTCTTTGCAGACCATGGCACGCATCATACAGCATTCTGGGGATGGGTATCTTGTATTTTGTGAACACAGGTTAGAAGAAGGAAGGAAGGAGTTGAAAAAGGACCCCATTTGGGAAGATATAATGGCAGAATTTCCAGAAGTAACAACTCCCATGCAAGGGTTACCCCCTCATAAAACATGTGACCATGCTATTAAAATCAAAGGAGCAGACATACCTAACATACGGCCCTACAGATACCCACAGTATCAAAAGAATGAAATAGAGAAGATCATCAAGGAAATGCTGCAGGCAGGAATTATAAAACCCAGCAACAGCCCATATAGCAGCCCAATTCTGCTGGCCAAGAAGGACGGGGGTTGGAGGTTCTGTGGGGATTACAGGGCACTGAATCAGATTACCATCCCTGATAAATATCCCATACCAATCATTGAGGAGCTGATGGATGAGCTGGGTGGAGCTACCATTTTTACCAAGTTAGACCTCAAATCTGGGTACCATCAGATTCGAATGAAAGAAGCAGACATCCAAAAGACTGCATTTCGAACTCATAATAGTCATTATGAATATCTAGTAATGTCATTTGGGTTAACTAATGCCCCCTCCACGTTCCAGTCTCTCATGAACCAGGTTTTGAGGCCATTCTTACGAAAGTTTGCTTTGGTTTTCTTTGATGATATACTTGTATATAGCCAGAACAGGGAAGAGCATCAAGAGCATCTAAGGAGTGTCCTAAGAGCATTGAAGGAGAATCAGTTAGTAGTTAATCTAAAGAAGTGTTCGTTTGGACAATTTCAGCTAGTCTATTTGGGGCATATAATCTCTGGAGAAGGAGTATCAGTTGACCCTTCCAAGATTGAGGCAATGGTGAACTGGCCAGTACCTAGAGATCTAAAGGGCTTGAGAGGTTTTCTGGGGCTGACCGGGTACTACAGAAGATTTGTCAGAGGGTATGGCAAACTGGCTCAACCTCTCACCCAACTGCTTAAGAAGGACAGCTTCAAATGGGACACTTCAGCCACCAGGGCTTTTGAGGAATTAAAAAAGGCTATGACTTCCTTACCAGTTCTAGCAGTACCTGATTTCAACAAGTTGTTCATATTGGAGACTGACGCCTCAGGAACTGGTCTTGGGGCCGTTCTAATGCAAGAAGGAAGGCCCCTGGCATACATGAGCAAGGAACTATCTAAACGGAATCAGGGCAGGCCTGTGTATGAAAGAGAGCTGATGGCCATAGTAGTAGCGGTGCAGAAATGGAGACCCTATCTATTGGGGAGAACTTTTGAGATTCATACCGACCAGAAGAGCCTGAAATTTTTAGCTGAACAAAGACTACTTGGGGAAGAGCAGCAGAAGTGGACATCTAAACTACTCGGCTACAATTTCATAATCAAATACAAGCCTGGGGTAGAAAATAGAGCAGCAGATGCCCTATCCAGAAGACCAGCCCTACACTCTTTATCCATTGTCACGTGTCAAGAGTGGGAAGGATTGGAGGAGGAGCTACAGTCAGACCCTAGATGCAGGGAGCTGATTCAGAATGTAATAGCACAACCTGATAATTACCCAGATTTTTTTATGAAAGCAGGATTGTTATATCACAAGGAGAAGCTGGTTCTACCAAAACAGTCTCCTAGAATACTTAAAATTATGAGGGAGTACCATGACTCTTCTGTAGGAGGGCATTCAGGGTATTTTCAAACGATGAAGAGAATAACCAACTTATTCGACTGGCATGGTATGAAATCTGACATCAAGAAGTATATGGAAGGATGTACAGTTTGTCAAACCAACAAGTACCAGGCCCTCAAATCGGCTGGATTGTTGCAACCCTTACCCATACCCAATAATATCTGGACAGATCTCAGCATGGATTTCATAGGGGGCCTTCCTAAATCCCATGGTTGTGATACTATATTGGTTGTTGTTGACAGACTAACAAAATATACCCATTTCATAGCCCTATCTCACCTTTTTTATGCTAAGGGAGTAGCTGAATTATTCACAAAAGAAGTGGTGAGACTACACGGTTTCCCAAAGACCATTGTAAGTGATCGGGATAGCATATTCATGAGTTCTTTCTGGTCAGAACTGTTCAGGCTGACAGGCACTCAACTCAGATTTAGTACAACCTACCATCCCCAAACAGATGGGCAAACGGAGGTGGTGAACAGATGCTTAGAAACCTATTTAAGGTGTCTTACAGGGAGGAAACCTAGGCAATGGAAGCAATGGCTACACTGGGCTGAATTCTGGTACAATACGAATTATCATTCTTCCCTGAAACTAACACCTTACAAGGCTCTTTTTGGACAAGAACCCCCTGCAGTTATTAGGGGTGATGTAACCTTAACTGCTCTAGAAGAAGTGTCTCAACTGAGAAGCCCAAAGAAATGCCATGTTGGAGGAGCTGAAAGGGAACTTAGCTGCAGCCCAGAATTTGATGCAACAACAAGCCAATAAGCACAGAAGGGAAGTACAGATGGAGGTAGGAGACTTGGTGTACTTAAAGTTACAACCTTATAAACTGCAAAGCCTGGCAAAAAGGAGAAACCAAAAGCTAAGCCCCAGATTCTATGGGCCTTTTGAGATCCTCGAGAGGGTTGGATCTGTAGCCTATAAACTCAAGCTACCAAGTGACAGTAGAATTCACCCAATCTTTCATGTTTCTCTACTCAAGAAAGTGTTAGCTCCTAACACTTCTTTTCAGCCTCTTCCTAAGTGCTTGACTGAAGAAATGGAGCTGCAGGTTGCTCCTGAGGAAGATGTGGATGCCAGAGTGAATTCAGAGGGAGTAGCAGAGCTTTTGATACTGAAGTTTTCTGAATATTATTTCCTTGAATGCATTTACAAGAAGTACATAAGCTATTTATACAGATAGGAATCCTGAGAGAGTCTATTCAGCACCCTAGGTGACTGTCTAAATACTAAACATAAATGATTGAGAACTGAAAAGACAGCAGCTATTAAATACAACCTGAAGCACTAAAGATACATAATTACAGTAATAATAAGGAAAATAAATCCTAGATTAATGATGTCTCTTCGTTTTATCAACACTCCCCCTCAAGCTAGGTTTGTAGATATCCGTCATGCCTAGCTTGACAATAAGACCCTGGAACCTAGGACTGTGCAGAGGTTTGGTAAACACATCTGCAACTTGATCTTCTGAGGGAGTGTAGCTTAGTTCGATCAGACCTCCTTCAACCTTTTCTTTGATAAAGTGCCTATCAATCTCAATATGCTTGGTCCGATCATGTTGGACTGGATTATGAGCTATGTTGATTGCTGATTTGTTATCACACCTCAATTCCATTGGTCCTTTCCACTTGATTCGTAAATCTAAGAGAATAATTCTGATCCATAGAAGTTCACATAAGCCATGGGCAAGAGCTCTTAGCTCAGATTCAGCAGATGATCGTGCCACAACATTCTGTTTTTTGCTTCTCCATGTCACGAGGTTTCCTGCTAGGAAAACACAGAGACCAGTAGTTGACCGGCGGTCAACGAGGGAGCCATCATAATCTGCATCAGTGAAGGCTTGGACTGATAATTGCCCACCCTTCCTGAATATTATCCCTTGCCCTGGACTTCCTTTTAGGTAGTGAAGAACCCTATAGGCTGCTTCTAGATGTGGTTTCCTTGGATCATGCATGAACTGACTCAAAACACTAACTGCATAGGCAATGTCAGGTCTAGTATGAGAGAGATAGATAAGTTTGCCACACAAGCGCTGATACATTGATGAATCAACCTTGGGTTCATCAGTAGCAAGTCCAAGCTTGTGATTAGGATCCATAGGTGCATTAACCGGTCGACAAGCACTCTTACCGGTCTCATTTAACAAATCTGTAATGTACTTTTGTTGGCTGATAAAGATGCCTTCAGATGAGCGAGCAACTTCAATTCCAAGAAAGTATTTTAGAGGGCCAAGAGACTTCATCTCGAATTTGGATTTCAGCTGCCCCTCAAGACGTTGTTTCTCAACTGGATCATTACCCGTCACAATGATGTCATCCACATATACCAAAACAATAGTGACTCCATTTGGGCGAGAGTGTTTGTAAAAAAGAGTATGATCCCCTTGGCTTTGACTATACCCAGCAGCAAGAACAACCTGTGTGAAGCGGTCAAACCAAGCACGAGGGGATTGCTTGAGACCATAGAGGGCTTTTTTTAAATGACATACATGTGTAGAGGTTCTTGTTGATGTTTTATTAAAGCCTGGGGGAATGTACATGTAGATCTCATCATGCAAGTCACCGTGGAGAAAAGCATTCTTGACATCAAATTGCAATAAAGGCCAATCAAAGTGAGATGCCAAGGATAGTAGGATACGGACAGTATTGAGCTTAGCTACAGGAGCAAAGGTCTCTTGATAGTCAATCCCATACGTCTGAGTGTATCCTTTAGCCACAAGACGAGCTTTGTACCGCTCAAGAGATCCATCAGCCTTGTATTTGACAGTAAAGATCCACCTGCAACCAACAACATGCCTCCCAGGAGGTTTAGTCACAATATCCCAAGTATGGTTCTTTTCAAGAGCTCTAATTTCCTCTTGCATAGCATCCCTCCATTCTTTCTTTCCTAATGCCTCAGAAACAGAGTTGGGTATGGGAATTTCATCAAGTCTCTGAACAAACAAGGCATGTGAAGGAGAGAAGTTATCAATGGTAACAAAATTAGCAAGAGGGTATAGAGGTGTTTTGGTACATTGACGTACACCCTTGCGTAAAGCAATTGGCGGAGATGGTGGTGGAGAAGAAGAGACATTACCTGGGTCAGCCAATTGGTCATGCGTCAACAATGGAGTGAACCTGTTTTTCCTTGAGTACACTTTTGTCACTGGTAGAGGAGAAGATGGGTCATGAGTGGTGGATTTAGTAGGTGTAGGAATGGGATGATCTGGTGGTGTATTTGATTGAGGTTCAGGTGATGTTGAAGACTGTTGGGAAGTAGGTGAGGTTGCTGACACATCTAAGGAAGGTGATGGATGATCATGTGGTGGTGGTGGTGATGGGATGTCTGGTGATAAAGGCTTAGGAGGGTAGGAGATTGTATGTGGTGGAGAAGATGTAATAGTATAGGTGGGCAGAGGTGAAGGATGTGGAGTATCTTGGGATACAGGGAGAGAAGTAGGAGTGTGAAAAGGTGTGTCTTCGTGAAAGGTCACATCTGCACTGGTGTATGTCTTTCTGGTTGTAGGATTATAGCACTTATATCCTTTCTGAGTTGGAGAATAACCAAGAAAGATACACTTAATAGATCGTGGGTCCAATTTTCCCCTATGAGGTGGAGGAATATGAACAAATGAAGTACACCCAAACACCCTTAGATCAAGATCAGAAGAAATTCTGGTTTGAGGAAAGAAATGACGGAGAGATTCAAGGGGTGACTTATTTTGGAGTACCCGACTGGGAATTTTATTGATGAGATGACATGCTGTGAGTGTGGCTTCCCCCCAATAGTGTTTAGGCATATTTGAATGAAACAATAAAGCCCGACTGACGTCTAGGAGATGGCGATTTTTTCTTTCTGCTGTGCCATTCTGTTGTGGTGTGTACGGACAAGAGGACTCATGAACAATGCCTTTTGAGAGGAAATAAGAGGAAACGGTTTGATTGAAGTATTCAAGAGCATTATCAGTGCGGAAGCGTTTTATTGTGGCGGAGAACTGATTATGAATCATATTGCAAAAGATAGGAATGATGGAACTCACCTCACTCTTGTTTTTTAGCAGAAAAACCCACATAAAACGTGTACAATCATCAATAAATGTAACATACCACCGGGCACCAGATATATTAGCAATTGGAGCAGGACCCCAGACATCACTATGTATAATATCAAAAGGAGAACAACTGATTGTATTACTTCTGGAAAAAGATACACGAGACTGTTTAGCAAGTTCACAGACATCACATTGAAATGTAGAAACATCAATACTACTAAAAAGACTGGGAAACATGGTTTTTAGGACATGAAAAGAGGGATGACCAAGACGCTTGTGGTGAAGCCAAATAGTGTTGGTATTGGCTGTGATTGTGGTAAGAGCTTTTTGTGGAGGTTTGGAGACAAACAGTGCATCAAGGTAGTACAGGCCATCTCTTTGTTTAGCAATTCCAATCGTCCTCCCCGTGTGTAGATCCTGTAATAAACAGTGGGAAGGGAAAAAAATGGCAGCACAATTAAGATCAACTGTGAGTTTGTAAATAGAAGCAAGGTTCATAGCCAGGTTTGGGACATGTAGGGTGTTTTTCAGATTTAATTTTTCAGAAAAAACAACCGTACCAAGTCCCGCAACCTTTGTAGGTGTCCCATCAGCAGTAGTAATGTGCGTGGATGTAAAACATGGATGATAATTAGAGAGTAAAGAGGGTATGGCAGTCATATGAGATGTGGCACCTGAGTCTAATATCCATTGGGATTGTGAACTCTGTTCCGAAGCATTAAGACAAAAAATAGTAGAGGTTTTACCTTGCAGGGCCAAAGAGCTATGACCAGAACCATTTGAGTTATTAAGAGACTGTAACATCATACGAATTTGCTTTAATTCCTCCTGGGAAATGGGCCAAAGATTAGTAGAGCTCTCAACAATAGTGGGAGTGACTGAGTTGGCACGTCCAGCACTCATTCCACGTCTGTCTTGGCTTTTCCTTTCTTTCTGTAGATGAGGATAAAGTTTCCAGCATGTATCCACATTATGGTTGGACCGCTTGCAATGATCACACCATCTTCCTCCCTTACTACCCTTAGTTTCCTTAACATCTGAAGGAGTAGATTTGGCAGCAAGAGCTGTACTGTCAATCAGATTTGTATTCATCATTATATTGCGTCTGCTCTCTTCATGTTTGATAGTGGCAATGGCAGAAGATATGGAAGGCAGAGGAGTAATGCCAAGAATTTGACCCCGAGTCTGATCATATTCGGGATTTAAACCAGACAAGAAGCAATATAGACGTTGCTGATTTATATAGTTCTTGTGAAGAGCTGCATCTGCAGCATTCGACCACTTCATCGTTTGATACTGGTCAAGTTCAGACCATCGTCGTTGGAGGTCAGTTGCATAATCTGTGACAGATTGTGAATCTTGCTTAAGATTCGTTGTTTTGAGCCATAAGTCATAGACAAAAGCGCCATCTTTAGCAACAGAGTAGGACTGCTGTATGAAATCCCAGATTTCTTTAGCCGAGTCCATGTATAAACATGTACTGCTAATGTTGGGATCCATAGAGTCCCATAACCAGACCCGTACGTTGGCATTAGTTTTCTCCCAAATAGCAGCATCAATCTCTCCTTCTTCTGGGGTAGAGACAGTGAGATAATCTTCAAGATCTTTGCCACGTAGAAGAGTGTAAACCAGCTTTGACCACCCAAGATAGTTCCTGCCATTGAGACGGTAAGATGGCGGGATAGAAGGGAGATCAAATTTCTGGTTTCGAAGAGCAAACGCGGCTGCAGTAGCAGCTGAAACAATGGTTGAGTGATCAAGGTTACTTGAGGCTGATTCGGCTTCTTTAGACATGATAAAAACCCTTGATGAAGAGACTCCACCGGGAGTTAAAGAGAGAGAAGGGTAGAGACACCCAAAAAATGACCGTTGGAGAGGTGATAGACTGACTCAAAAAAGACTTAGACGAAACCAAGCTCTGATACCATGAAGTTTTCTGAATATTATTTCCTTGAATGCATTTACAAGAAGTACATAAGCTATTTATACAGATAGGAATCCTGAGAGAGTCTATCCAGCACCCTAGGTGACTGTCTAAATACTAAACATAAATGATTGAGAACTGAAAAGACAGCAGCTATTAAATACAACCTGAAGCACTAAAGATACATAATTACAGTAATAATAAGGAAAATAAATCCTAGATTAATGATGTCTCTTCGTTTTATCAACAGATACACTGGAAGGGCCTCCCCAGTTTCGAGGACTCTTGGGAACCAACGCAAGCGATACAAGAACTCTTCCCAGATTTTCACCTTGGGGACAAGGTGAATTTCAAAGGGGGGGGGTATTGATAGACATTCAACTCAGCTACCTGTTAAATATTATGATAAAGTTTACACACGGAGGAAGGGGAGGGTAGCTTTTAATTAGCCAATTATTTAGTTATGCTATTTTGTCCCTGCGTGGACACGTGACTATAAATAGTAACCTAGTTTCTATTTCTGAGTAGGCTGTATTTTCTGTTGGGTAAGGATTTGGAGACTGGGCATCTCGAATAAGCCCCTGAGCACTGTATCCCCGTGATCTGTTCAGTTGGAGGAATAAAGCCATTACGATCTATTCCTTCCATTTCTTTGTGCTTCTTTTATTGGTTGCTTTGCAGATTCCAGTGATCTATCATCCTTCCACCGTTACTATTTCAGTCGATGAGTATTGAAGTTTTCTGAATATTATTTCCTTGAATTCATTTACAAGAAGTACATAAGCTATTTATACAGATAGGAATCCTGAGAGAGTCTATTAAGCACCCTAGGTGACTGTCTAAATACTAAACATAAATGATTGAGAACTGAAAAGACAGCAGCTATTAAATACAACCTGAAGCACTAAAGATACATAATTACAGTAATAATAAGGAAAATAAATCCTAGATTAATGATGTCTCTTCGTTTTATCAACACTCCCCCTCAAGCTAGGTTTGTAGATATCCGTCATGCCTAGCTTGACAATAAGACCCCGGAACCTAGGACTGTGCAGAGGTTTGGTAAACACATCTGCAACTTGATCTTCTGAGGGAGTGTAGCTTAGTTCGATCAGACCTCCTTCAACCTTTTCTTTGATAAAGTGCCTATCAATCTCAATATGATTGGTCCGATCATGTTGGACTGGATTATGAGCTATGTTGATTGCTGATTTGTTATCACACCTCAATTCCATTGGTCCTTTCCACTTGATTCGTAAATCTAAGAGAATAATTCTGATCCATAGAAGTTCACATAAGCCATGGGCAAGAGCTCTTAGCTCAGATTCAGCAGATGATCGTGCCACAACATTCTGTTTTTTGCTTCTCCATGTCACGAGGTTTCCTGCTAGGAAAACACAGAGACCAGTAGTTGACCGGCGGTCAACGAGGGAGCCACCATAATCTGCATCAGTGAAGGCTTGGACTGATAATTGCCCACCCTTCCTGAATATTATCCCTTGCCCTGGACTTCCTTTTAGGTAGTGAAGAACCCTATAGGCTGCTTCTAGATGTGGTTTCCTTGGATCATGCATGAACTGACTCAAAACACTAACTGCATAGGCAATGTCAGGTCTAGTATGAGAGAGATAGATAAGTTTGCCACACAAGCGCTGATACATTGATGAATCAACCTTGGGTTCATCAGTAGCAAGTCCAAGCTTGTGATTAGGATCCATAGGTGCATTAACCGGTCGACAAGCACTCTTACCGGTCTCATTTAACAAATCTGTAATGTACTTTTGTTGGCTGATAAAGATGCCTTCAGATGAGCGAGCAACTTCAATTCCAAGAAAGTATTTTAGAGGGCCAAGAGACTTCATCTCGAATTTGGATTTCAGCTGCCCCTCAAGACGTTGTTTCTCAACTGGATCATTACCCGTCACAATGATGTCATCCACATATACCAAAACAATAGTGACTCCATTTGGGCGAGAGTGTTTGTAAAAAAGAGTATGATCCCCTTGGCTTTGACTATACCCAGCAGCAAGAACAACCTGTGTGAAGCGGTCAAACCAAGCACGAGGGGATTGCTTGAGACCATAGAGGGCTTTTTTTAAATGACATACATGTGTAGAGGTTCTTGTTGATGTTTTATTAAAGCCTGGGGGAATGTACATGTAGATCTCATCATGCAAGTCACCGTGGAGAAAAGCATTCTTGACATCAAATTGCAATAAAGGCCAATCAAAGTGAGATGCCAAGGATAGTAGGATACGGACAGTATTGAGCTTAGCTACAGGAGCAAAGGTCTCTTGATAGTCAATCCCATACGTCTGAGTGTATCCTTTAGCCACAAGACGAGCTTTGTACCGCTCAAGAGATCCATCAGCCTTGTATTTGACAGTAAAGATCCACCTGCAACCAACAACATGCCTCCCAGGAGGTTTAGTCACAATATCCCAAGTATGGTTCTTTTCAAGAGCTCTAATTTCCTCTTGCATAGCATCCCTCCATTCTTTCTTTCCTAATGCCTCAGAAACAGAGTTGGGTATGGGAATTTCATCAAGTCTCTGAACAAACAAGGCATGTGAAGGAGAGAAGTTATCAATGGTAACAAAATTAGCAAGAGGGTATAGAGGTGTTTTGGTACATTGACGTACACCCTTGCGTAAAGCAATTGGCGGAGATGGTGGTGGAGAAGAAGAGACATTACCTGGGTCAGCCAATTGGTCATGCGTCAACAATGGAGTGAACCTGTTTTTCCTTGAGTACACTTTTGTCACTGGTAGAGGAGAAGATGGGTCATGAGTGGTGGATTTAGTAGGTGTAGGAATGGGATGATCTGGTGGTGTATTTGATTGAGGTTCAGGTGATGTTGAAGACTGTTGGGAAGTAGGTGAGGTTGCTGACACATCTAAGGAAGGTGATGGATGATCATGTGGTGGTGGTGGTGATGGGATGTCTGGTGATAAAGGCTTAGGAGGGTAGGAGATTGTATGTGGTGGAGAAGATGTAATAGTATAGGTGGGCAGAGGTGAAGGATGTGGAGTATCTTGGGATACAGGGAGAGAAGTAGGAGTGTGAAAAGGTGTGTCTTCGTGAAAGGTCACATCTGCACTGGTGTATGTCTTTCTGGTTGTAGGATTATAGCACTTATATCCTTTCTGAGTTGGAGAATAACCAAGAAAGATACACTTAATAGATCGTGGGTCCAATTTTCCCCTATGAGGTGGAGGAATATGAACAAATGAAGTACACCCAAACACCCTTAGATCAAGATCAGAAGAAATTCTGGTTTGAGGAAAGAAATGACGGAGAGATTCAAGGGGTGACTTATTTTGGAGTACCCGACTGAGAATTTTATTGATGAGATGACATGCTGTGAGTGTGGCTTCCCCCCAATAGTGTTTAGGCACATTTGATTGAAACAATAAAGCCCGACTGACGTCTAGGAGATGGCGATTTTTTCTTTCTGCTGTGCCATTCTGTTGTGGTGTGTACGGACAAGAGGACTCATGAACAATGCCTTTTGAGAGGAAATAAGAGGAAACGGTTTGATTGAAGTATTCAAGAGCATTATCAGTGCGGAAGCGTTTTATTGTGGCGGAGAACTGATTATGAATCATATTGCAAAAGATAGGAATGATGGAACTCACCTCACTCTTGTTTTTTAGCAGAAAAACCCACATAAAACGTGTACAATCATCAATAAATGTAACATACCACCGGGCACCAGATATATTAGCAATTGGAGCAGGACCCCAGACATCACTATGTATAATATCAAAAGGAGAACAACTGATTGTATTACTTCTGGAAAAAGATACACGAGACTGTTTAGCAAGTTCACAGACATCACATTGAAATGTAGAAACATCAATACTACTAAAAAGACTGGGAAACATGGTTTTTAGGACATGAAAAGAGGGATGACCAAGACGCTTGTGGTGAAGCCAAATAGTGTTGGTATTGGCTGTGATTGTGGTAAGAGCTTTTTGTGGAGGTTTGGAGACAAACAGTGCATCAAGGTAGTACAAGGTAGTACAGGCCATCTCTTTGTTTAGCAATTCCAATCGTCCTCCCCGTGTGTAGATCCTGTAATAAACAGTGGGAAGGGAAAAAAAATGGCAGCACAATTAAGATCAACTGTGAGTTTGTAAATAGAAGCAAGGTTCATAGCCAGGTTTGGGACATGTAGGGTGTTTTTCAGATTTAATTTTTCAGAAAAAACAACCGTACCAAGTCCCGCAACCTTTGTAGGTGTCCCATCAGCAGTAGTAATGTGCGTGGATGTAAAACATGGATGATAATTAGAGAGTAAAGAGGGTATGGCAGTCATATGAGATGTGGCACCTGAGTCTAATATCCATTGGGATTGTGAACTCTGTTCCGAAGCATTAAGACAAAAAATAGTAGAGGTTTTACCTTGCAGGGCCAAAGAGCTATGACCAGAACCATTTGAGTTATTAAGAGACTGTAACATCATACGAATTTGCTTTAATTCCTCCTGGGAAATGGGCCAAAGATTAGTAGAGCTCTCAACAATAGTGGGAGTGACTGAGTTGGCACGTCCAGCACTCATTCCACGTCTGTCTTGGCTTTTCCTTTCTTTCTGTAGATGAGGATAAAGTTTCCAGCATGTATCCACATTATGGTTGGACCGCTTGCAATGATCACACCATCTTCCTCCCTTACTACCCTTAGTTTCCTTAACATCTGAAGGAGTAGATTTGGCAGCAAGAGCTGTACTGTCAATCAGATTTGTATTCATCATTATATTGCGTCTGCTCTCTTCATGTTTGATAGTGGCAATGGCAGAAGATATGGAAGGCAGAGGAGTAATGCCAAGAATTTGACCCCGAGTCTGATCATATTCGGGATTTAAACCAGACAAGAAGCAATATAGACGTTGCTGATTTATATAGTTCTTGTGAAGAGCTGCATCTGCAGCATTCGACCACTTCATCGTTTGATACTGGTCAAGTTCAGACCATCGTCGTTGGAGGTCAGTTGCATAATCTGTGACAGATTGTGAATCTTGCTTAAGATTCGTTGTTTTGAGCCATAAGTCATAGACAAAAGCGCCATCTTTAGCAACAGAGTAGGACTGCTGTATGAAATCCCAGATTTCTTTAGCCGAGTCCATGTATAAACATGTACTGCTAATGTTGGGATCCATAGAGTCCCATAACCAGACCCGTACGTTGGCATTAGTTTTCTCCCAAATAGCAGCATCAATCTCTCCTTCTTCTGGGGTAGAGACAGTGAGATAATCTTCAAGATCTTTGCCACGTAGAAGAGTGTAAACCAGCTTTGACCACCCAAGATAGTTCCTGCCATTGAGACGGTAAGATGGCAGGATAGAAGGGAGATCAAATTTCTGGTTTCGAAGAGCAAACGCGGCTGCAGTAGCAGCTGAAACAATGGTTGAGTGATCAAGGTTACTTGAGGCTGATTCGGCTTCTTTAGACATGATAAAAACCCTTGATGAAGAGACTCCACCGGGAGTTAAAGAGAGAGAAGGGTAGAGACACCCAAAAAATGACCGTTGGAGAGGTGATAGACTGACTCAAAAAAGGCTTAGACGAAACCAAGCTCTGATACCATGAAGTTTTCTGAATATTATTTCCTTGAATGCATTTACAAGAAGTACATAAGCTATTTATACAGATAGGAATCCTGAGAGAGTCTATTCAGCACCCTAGGTGACTGTCTAAATACTAAACATAAATGATTGAGAACTGAAAAGACAGCAGCTATTAAATACAACCTGAAGCACTAAAGATACATAATTACAGTAATAATAAGGAAAATAAATCCTAGATTAATGATGTCTCTTCGTTTTATCAACAAGTATGCTCGGCTACAACAACTTTCTCTCACAGCCTCATCTGCCACCACACAAGTTGAAACAGGTAATCTTGCTGCATGCCTCTCTACATCATCACGCAATTGGGTGATTGATTCCGGCGCAACGGACCATATGACTGGTAATGAAAATATTTTGGATTCATTTACCTCTTCTGCTAACCAGTCTCATGTTACTTTAGCAAACGGATCAACCACATCTGTCAATGGCCTTGGAACAACAACTCTTTCTCCAAACCTTTCTCTATCTTCTGTTTTATATTTATCTCAATTTCCGTTTAATTTAATCTCAGTCAGTCAGATTACTAAAGCCCTAAACTGATGTGTTATTTTCTTTCCCACTCATTGTCTTTTTCAGGATCTTGGGACGAAGCAGATTATTGGTAAAGGAAGACTGGTTAATGGCTTGTATGTTTTTGAATCCTCGGTGCCGAGATCAGTTGCATGCACAAGTTCGTCTCTGTTGAAAGTTCACTGTCAATTTGGTCATCCATCTCTTTCTGTACTACAAAAAATGTGTCCTAATCTGTCACGGGAGTCTGTTTTGGAGTGTGAAGCATGTCAGTTTGCTAAGCATCATAGAACAACTTTCCCTCCTCGAATAAATAAAAGTGTTGAGTCTAGTTTTGATTTAGTTGACACTGATGTGTGGGGTCCTTGTCCTGTCGTTTCCAAACTTGGTCATCGTTATTTTGTTACATTTGTGGATGATTTTTCACGGGTTACTTGGCTTTATCCTTTGAAATCTCGTTCAAATGTGTTTACTGCATTTTGTACCTTTCATGCTGAAATTCAAACTCAATTTAATAAGAATATACGCATTCTGAGGAGTGATAATGCTAAAGACTATTTATCTAGCACTTTTCAGACTTACTTATCTCGCCATGAGATTTTACACCACACTTCTTGTCCCTATACACCTCAACAAAATGGTGTAGCTGAACGAAAGAATCGTCACCTACTAAAAGTAGCTCGAGCCTTAATATTTCACATGGGGGTTCCTAAACCATTTTGGGTAGACGATGTTTCCACTGCGTGTTACCTTATCAATCGTATGCCTTCTTCTGTTCTTAATGGTCAGATTCCTTACTCCGTTTTATTTCCCTCCCAGTCCTTGTTCTCTCTTGTGCCTCGTGTGTTTGGTTGCACATGTTTTGTCCAGGATATGCATTCCCAGGTCTCAAAACTTAATCCTAAATCAATCAAGTGTGTTTTTCTGGGTTATTCTTGATTACAAAAAGGATATCGATGTTATTCTCCTTCATTGGGACGTTATATTATCTCTGCAGATGTCACATTTTTTGAAGAAACACCCTTCTTTCAGCATAGTTCATCTTCATCCCCTTCCTTGGAACTCTCTAATGATGAGTTTCTAGTCTATACCACCAGCCAGCTAGAAATTGTCCCCCCAGTGAGGTTTCCCCATCAACTTTCCTTCCTCCTCCACCTCCTCCCCTTAAAGTTTACTCTCGTCGTGTGCGCCCTGTGACTACGGCACCTACTATTGCTATCAGTGTACCACCGCCATCTTCTACCTCGCCTCCAGATTCTGCTCCCTCCGACCTTGATCTCCCAATCGCCCTCCGAAAAGGTACTCGTACTTGTACTTATCATGTTTCTTCCTTTGTTACTTATAATACATTGTCACCTTCTTCCAAGAGCTTTATTGCTTCGTTAGATTCTATTGTTGTTCCTTCAACTGTTTCTGAGGCCTTGGCTCATCCTGGTTGGCAAGACGCAATGCGAGAGGAGATGATGGCTCTCGATCAGAACCACACATGGGACCTTGTATATCTTCCACCCGATAAGAAAGATAAGAAAGCCATTGGGTGTAAATGGGTGCTCACTGTCAAAATGAATCATGATGGTTCTGTTGCTCGTTTAAAGGCACGGTTAGTAGCTAAGGGTTATGCTCAGGCATATGGTATAGTTTACTTTGACACTTTCTCTCCTGTTGCCAAGCTTACATCCATTCGAGGGTTCATCTCTTTGGCTGCTACTTACAATTGGACACTCCATCAACTTGATATTAAAAATGCCTTTTTGAATGGTGATCTTAGCGAGGAAGTATACATAGAGCAACCACCGGGGTTTCTTGCTCGGGGGGAGTCTGGAAAGGTATGTAAATTAAGTCGTTGTATGGTCTGAAACAATCCCCACAAGCTTGGTTCGGCCGTTTCAGTGCTGCAATATTTAAATTTGGCCTACGCAGGAGTGCCTATGATCACTCAGTTTTCTTCTCTACCTCAAATTCTGGATGCATTATATTAGTTGTGTATGTTGATGACATCGTGATCACTGGCAGTGATGCGAGTCGTATTTTGAAACTGAAAGCTTTCCTTGCTACTTGTTTTCAGACCAAAGATCTTGGCCCCTTGAAGTATTTCTTAGGGATAGAAGTCTCACGTAGTAACAAGGGAACTTACTTGTCTCAAAGAAAATACTGCCTAGATGTGCTAAATGATGCAGGTTTGATTGAGGCAAAACCGTGTGATGCTCCGATGATCCCAAATGTAAAGTTAACCACTGATGAAGGTGACTTGCTGGAAAATCCTGAGGTATACCGAACAATTGTTGGGAAACTGAATTATTTGACTATCGCCCGACCTGATATTGCTTTCCCGGACAGTGTGGTCAGTCTGTCCACTCCACGAACATCACACTGGGATGCAGTTACTCATATCCTAAGATACTTGAAGGGGGCTCCAGGGCGTGGGATACTATATCAAAACCACGGACATCATGTTATTGAAGGGTTTACTGATGCGGACTATGCTGGAAATCCTAATGATCGACATTCCACCACTGGTTACTGTGTCTTTGCTGGTGGAAACCTTGTATCTTGGAAAAGTAAGAAGCAAAATGTTGTCTCTAGATCAAGTGCAGAATCTGAATATCGAGTAATGGCACATACTACATGTGAGCTGGTTTGGCTTCGACATTTGCTTGGTGAACATGGATTTGCTCAAACAGAACCCATGAGATTATGGTGTGATAATCAAGCGGCTATCCATATAGCAAATAATCCTGTTTTTCATGAAAGAACAAAGCATATTGAAGTTGATTGTCACTTTACTCGAGAAAAGGTAGAAGATGGTACAATTTGCACTTCACACATCAAAACAGGAAACCAACTGGCAGATGTGTTCACCAAGGCTCTACCGGGGACACGTATCAATTCCATTTGTACCAAGCTGGGCATGATTAATATCTATGCTCCAGCTTGAGGGGGAGTGTTAGAATATACATATTTAATAGTCAATATATTCTATGTATATATAAGGTAGCTAATATATTCTCTGCGATAGACTAAATATTCTAGGTAAATCTGACAGATTTAGTTTCCTTTTCTGTATTCTCTAGCTTGTGTGTATTTATACTGGCCATACCTATTGATAATCAAGTGTGATTTCATTGCATCTTTAATCCCTATTACTCAGTTTACAATAGAGAGCAAGAAGAGGATGGGGCGGGAACGGACTTGGGCCCACTTCCGTGGGCCAGTTATGGGCTGAGTTATCCGTGGGCTGAGTTTTTAATTTAATTAGCTTCAATTATGTTAGTTCTTTAAGTATTGCTATTTATTATATTAGAATTCCCTTATGCTTTGTGCGCAAGTAATTCCCTTTCCCTTAGGCTTTGTTCGCAAGTCTATTTCCCCCTAGGATAGGCTACGTACAATTAATTAGGTTAATTAGTCTCCTACTGGCACTGGGATGTAGGCAGTTTTATTTATACCCACGCAGGGCTATTCAATCGATCATGAATAAAATTCAGATTTATCAAGTTAAATTAGCTTGGGCAACGGATTCTTCCGTTGATTATTCTGGGCAACGGTTTACCCCGTTGATTTTATTTTTTCTGTTACACAACAATTGGTCCGACCTGCCAGATCTTGTCCCGCCAAGATGACAAGAACCCAGAACGATCGTTTGACAGAACTAGAGAACGAACGAACCCTAATTAACCAGAAGCTTGATGCGCAGAGACTGAAGCTGGAAGAACACGGAATCCAGCTAGCGGAAATCACGGCTTCACTGGCAGCAATCGTGAAGGCCATGATGCCGCCGGAGAAATCGCCAACTGTGACCCCGAAAGCGACTCGTCTAGGCATGTCGCAACTACACCCTTCGTTGATGGAGGTCTGCGCAGTGAGGCATCTGCCCTTCTTCCTTCGTTCGACGGTGAAGACCCGATCGGGTGGTTGGCAAGAGTGGAGCAGCAATTCGAGCTCAACAGGACCCCACCGGACCGACAAGTTGCAGCGGCTAGAGTTTCTATGGAAGGGGCTGCCCTCTATTGGGTGACTTGGTTGAAGGCGCGCAAACCCGGGAGGAATTTAAGCAGGCCCTGGTGGCCAGATTTGATTCCCGATATCAAGGGAACAGGTTTGAACGGCTATCGGGTGTCAAACAAATTGGGTCGAGGGAGGAATACAATACCTTGTTTGTTCAACTGGCTAGCCAAGTTCTGGGATTGACCGATGATCATTATTTGGGCTATTACATGAGTGGACTTAAGGAAGCAATCCGAAGTTCGTTGCGATTACTTCGGCCAGAAAACCTGGAGACGGCCATGGAATTAGCTCGCGATGTGGAGCATAATCTGTGCGTCCATAGTGGAGGAAGTGGCAGCCCGAATTATAATTCTTCAGGGGTACGTTCCAGTAGCTTTTTAATGGCAAACACGGGTCCTTTGTTGACTGCCAGTGGTGACAGCTTACAGGGTTCAAAGGGCAGCTTTGCGAAAGATAGCGGACAGCCTCCGGGGACAAAGTCAGGGTTGTCCGGGCAACCTACGACACGCTCTCAGTTCACTCGTCTTCCGTCAAAGGAGTTTGCAGAATTGAGGGCAAAAGGATTATGCTTTAAGTGTAAGAAGCCATTTACACCAGGGCATGATTGCCCCTTTAAGCAGTTGCGGATAATGATAGCTGAGGAAGATGAGGAGTTGGACCTCCAACAGCATGAGTACTGTGAAATAACCGGCCAGGAAAAGGTTCGGGAAGGAGATGAAAGATATTTTCCAGTCTATTCTATGGCTGGAAATTTCAGTCCTCGGTCGGCCAGATTTCAACCTTGAGGACAAGGTTATTTCGAAGGAGGATGGATTGATAGAGAGCAAGAAGAGGATGGGGCGGGAACGGGCTTGGGCCCACTTCTGTGGGCCAGTTATGGGCTGAGTTATCCGTGGGCTGAGTTTTTAATTTAATTAGCTTCAAGTATGTTAGTTCTTTTATTATTGCTATTTATTATATTATCCTCCGTTCCATAAAAGTTGCAACAATTTGACTTTCACGTTTGCCAACACGCAACTTTGACTGTAATTATATTTATTTACGTATTAGTAAACATTAAAAAAAGTTAATATATTGGAAATTTACATTAATACAAATTTATTAATATTTTATACTCCCTCCGTCCCTTATAACTTTGCCAACTTTCCTTTTTGGTTGTCCCAAAAACTTTGCCACTTTCCCTTTTAGTCAATCAATGTGTGGTTCCTGTTATTTCTCTCTCCTATGCACAAATCTCTACCACACAGTTTTTACTTTATTATTCTACGTGCCGGTCAAACTTGGCAATCCTTTTAGGGACGGAAGGAGTACATGATATTTTTATTATATATATTATTAGAAAATCGTAGTCAAAGTAAGACGTGTGAATAGTGCAGAAATTCCAATGTTGCAACTTTTATGGAATGAAGGAAGTATTAGAATTCCTTTAGGCTTTGTGCGCAAGTAATTCCCTTTCCCTTAGGCTTTGTGCGCAATTCTGTTTCCCCCTAGGATAGGCTACGTACAATTAATTAGGTTAATTAGTCTCCCACTGGCACTGGGATGTAGGCAGTTTTATTTATACCCACGCAGGGCTATTCAATCGATCATGAATAAAATTCAGATTTTTTAAGCTAAATTAGCTTGGGCAACGGATTCTTCCGTTGATTATTCTGGGCAACGGTTTACCCAGTTGATTTTATTTTTTCTGTTACACAAAAAGAGTGCTTTGGTTACTGTTTAGCATTTGAAATTCCAGTTTCAGCTTCAGAGCACAAACCAATAGAATAGATAATCTGGGCATATTAATGCTTAAATAAATAAAAAAAACATGAGCTCAGCTTGGGTAAATCTGGGCATAATTCACTCTCTGCAACTCCTCTTATACATATTGTTTAAGTTTTCACTACAAGTTTTTTATTCATTTCAGGAAAAATATTACTGAAAATATTACTGTTTTATTCATTTGTCAGGAAAAAGAAACTTAAATTTCATGAACCATTTGTCAGTTTTACATCTTTTCACTGAAAATAAAACATGAGGAATATTCAGCTTGCTTTACCCATAACTATTCAGATTCTCATAAACAAAGATTCGTTCATTGGCAGACATGACAACCTCAACTCAAACATAAAAAAGTTAAGACTTTTTATGATATTCTGTTTGGAATTTCTTTATATCTTCCTTATATTCTTCTCCCTGGTTTGGATTCTCTCAAACATTTAATATTGTCAAACTTAGATTTTCCTGTAATACATCTTTTATATATGCTTCCACTAGCTAATAACTCATTCATACAGCTTTTGGAAAAATCAATATCCTGTGATAGTTCACATTGCTGGAATTGATTCAATAACCATCCTAAATTCCTAATAAAAAAATAGTGCCTTGCCTACTAGAGTTTTCAAAAAACACTAACTTGTGAATGAACCGGCTGATTAAAAATGCTCCAGATCTTTTTTTGCTAACCAAATGAAAATGACACTTGTACTCTCGTTTCAAATTCTATTATTTATAATTCACCAATCTCAGTGATATAAATCACAATATAATATTAGCCACTATTTCAGCAACTTCAACAACTTCAATCATACAGAGGCTCATATAATTTATCTCTTATATCATAAAATATCTGATCTGACGTATAGGCTGCTAACTAGCATTTTACCTTGAATCCTTGATTAATGAAATAAAAATGACTAAACACCTAAAATAAAATAAAAATACCTCTCTTGCAAAACCCATTAACAGTACAAAGATTAAAACCTTTCCTAATTCCTTTAATCCCTTTCCTTAATTTACTCTGAGATCATATTAGAACTTCAATAGATGAAAGAACACCACATTAATTGCGAAATTATATACTACCTCTGTTCTTAAATAGTTGCAACATTAGAAATTTTACACTATTCATGTGCTCTACTTTGACTACAGTGTATTTACTAATGCATTGAAAATTTATTTTTTAAAAAATATTATAAAACCCTTCTCATTTAAAATTTTCAAAATGTGATTTTTTAAAATTGTTTACAAATAGAGAATTAACTATATTGATAATTAAAATTTATGTGTTGGGAAACGTGAAATTGGAAGTGGTTTCAACTAAAAAAGAACTGATGAAGTACAAAAGAAAGAAAATGTCGAAGTGAAATCTGAAGACATACCCCATGCAAGCAAGGAACTGGTTGATCCAAGCACATAAAGAGCTGTACAACATCATATACAATATATCCAGCAGCTGCAGATCATGAACCCATTGAAAGTACTTGAAACCTTCATCTCAAACAAAGTAAATACTCCTTAGCCATTAGTAGTCTGTAGAAAAGCGAAATCAAACCCCAATCTGTTTATCCAGATTTTGATATAAAATTTGACATCTTTGTGACATATCACCACATACATACTTGTATAGGAGTAAGGACAGATATCGATATGGGCAATCAAATGATATGCGGAATTTATGAGAGGCAAGTGAGTTGTACCTGGGTGTAATTCGGGATTGAAGTGGAGTGGGCGATAAGCGCCGTCACCACAACTATAAACCTCTTCTTCTGTGAACTAATTATCAGGTGATGATTTGTTAGGGAAGCGAGCAATTGTTTTTTATATCACAGTTTATTATTTTTACTCAATTTAGGGTAAATTTCCAAGAGGGAAAGTTATGTAAACGGGAGTAAGAATGTTTTTAGGACGGTTTTACACCTGAACACAAGAACATATCAGAATTAGACAATTATAATAAAACACTCAAAAATAAGATTTTTACAATCAGATAAGATCATATCAAAACTTCAATCCAATTAAAAAAATCTTTAACGGGTGTTGCAATTGCACAATAGAATAATTATGTTTTTCTTCCTGAAATAGCAGTACCCGGCATTAGCATGGTGGTATTTACCGTCATTAATGGTTGTGGTTTTCAAACATGAGAGTAAAGACCGTTATTTCAAGGGGGAAATATAGCAACCATCCTTTTTGAATTTCAAAAGGGTTTTACTTCTATCTAGGACATTTTCCCTTTAGTCAAATTCCATGAAACCTATTGTACTTTGTTCTTTGTTCACTTGAACCGAGAATGATGAAGTAATTACTTCGACCAATCAAATTCACCATAGGTATGGTACTCAGTTTTTTAATGGGCACCAGAGCATTCACTTATTTTAAATCCTTTTATTCAAAAGATTTCCCTCAAAACGATTTGAAATTTCAAATATAACACTGTAGTTTCCTCTATCTTGAATCATGCAGTCATATATTTATGTTAACATACATTAATATGATAGACTCAGTGTCAGACTGTTATTAAGAAAAAAGGATTATGTGGTTCACATTAACATAATAAAGTAAACATAAGGTAAGAACGATATATAATAAAATAAAAATTACCAAAATTGATATCAAACAATCTTAGTGGATGGATAAAGTAATGGGAGATTTCCCAAAATAGAAGTAAATGAAGTTTGAAATTTCAAAATAGGACTACTTTATTTTTATTCCCGAAATGGGACTAACATAGCAGTATTTACTGTCATCTTGTACCTGTGACTGTCATATAGTTGCAGTACAGTGTATTTAACATGACAGTATTTATGATAATTAATGACAGTATTTTTCAGTCATGACAGTATTTTTCATACATGACAGTAATAACTCCTATTTCGGGAAGAAAAACGTAGTAGTCCTATTTTGGAATTCCAAGTGTCATTTGCTCCTGTTTTGGGCAATTTAAGTAATATTTCCAAGTATTACACATGCTCATGTTTAGGGCATAAGTATAGAACTATGGTTTTAAGTTTTAGACTTTTTTTACATGTTATTTCAAAAAAAAAAGTGAATAAACTTATTTAGAAAAACATTAATAAAAATTATTATAGTGTAGTGTCATAATCACTTAAATATAAAAATTGAACACAAATTATTATGACTAATGCTACTACAATAGTAACTACACTTACAAGGTCACATTAAACAACTTTATGGCAATATCTTTTTATTCAATAAAAGAACTTGTGGTTGTTGTACGTTATATTCATTCACTTAATTAAATTTTGATTCTTATAGAGTAATATTTATTTGTCCAAAACTACATATTAATATTACATGTATACTATTGTAATATCACTAGATTCACTACAAAAAAAATAACGAAAGTAATACGGATTTGACACGAATCTTTGGAAAGGATTTGTCAAAATACATAAGAGATTTGGCACATGTGTCAAATTTGTGCCAATGTCATTTTGTGATGAACTATTTGACACGGAGTCATAGATCATTTCGTGTCAATCCCATTTTTTGTAGTATATAACTAATATAGTCGAAAATTAGAAATTCTTACAAGTATAGTATTATAAAATGCCTTGAATCTAATATAAAAATATGTGGATATGAGTTGAATGACTATATTCCCTAAGTTAACAGATATGACATATGATGAGTATTAGTCAATTAACTATAAAAGTGATGCTAACACATAATACTATCACTACCAGAACATTTGGAGCGACGGCTTTTCAGATTTTTGTCGTGCCTACGAGTTTTGGCATGACATTGGCACAAACACCCAAATCGTGCCACCTGCGGCCTTCCAAATCAAATGGCACACGGCCACACCTCGTGCCAAATTTAGGCACAGCCTCTAGCACGGCGATGACGCAGCCAAAGAAGTCAACAATTACGCATAATTTTTTCTGTCAATTTTTTTGCGCAACGAGGCTTGTGCCAAAATTTGTATAGAAATTGGAGTTTTGGCACTGTGATGTTGTGCCAACTATACTTCCTCATATTAAATGTTTTGGATGTAGGCACATCGGTGTCGTGCCAAACTTTTTACATCCACATCGAATTTTTGAATATTGGCACGGACATGTCGTGTCAAATATGTTCCAACTGTTTAAAAATTTTGAACATAGGCATGAGCAAGTCGTGTCAAACATTAACGATTTGCCGATTTGTTGAGAATTTTTCACGATATTTAGGCACACATATTCCATGCAAACGTGTAATTAAACAAAAAAAAAATGGCTCGTATATCTATACAGATATACATGCCTTTTTTGCATCGGGAACATTATTCAATTAACAAAAATACTAAGAACTGAAATAAACACCAAATAAGCACAAATAAATATTCAAATCATCAACATTGAAACATTAATATCCAAACACCAATCATAAGACACATCATCAAGATCACAAACAGCTAAATAAATCCACAATAGAAACTGTCAAAATAAGTGTTTGTTAGGAACATTACAAACCATTGGCAGGGAGATGTCTTCCATGAAATAGTCATCAACATCCGATGAACCAGGCTGAATCGATCGAGGCACGTTGAGTCGGACAGGCTGAGTCGAGACACGCAGAGTCGGGAAAACCTCGGGAAATTTGGGTTATCACTATGTCGAGGTTAGTACTTTTTAACTGATCTATAATAGCATAGAAGCAAACCAAATAGGAGCCATATGTGCGTCCTGATCTTGGTGTTTTTTTTGTTTAGGTATTTTATCATTTTAGGCCAGCAATGTTTGTTGAATTGATTCAACTTCTTCAAGAGTAGGACAAGGAGGCTCGGTCACCGAGGATGGGCTTGAGAGTTTTTGCTCGACAACCATACTCAAACTGACGAGTCTTATACTGATGGGTAGCTTTTTTTATTTTTTTTTACTCCAGGGGGTCTGGGGGTCTGAAGTAATCAGGGCTGAAACTCACTACATTGAGTTTGAAACCCTTATGTGCCTAACGGATTTCGAACTCGAGACCTCCCACTAGACACGGTAACCTCACAACCAGCTGAGCTGGAATGTTTGGTTATACTGACGGGTAGCTTGTGAAAATAGTTCATCATCTTCAGTTGCGGATATTTGACCATCCGATTGACTGGCATCATGCTCTTTCACATCATTGTACTTGCTCTAAAAATTGTTACAAGACAATTAGTACATTATATAAAACATTTTATAATTTAAAAAAATTACTCATGATGACATCTTGAACACGAGGAGACGGATCACCCGCTTTCGAGAAACAACACTTCTTATAAACTTCAATGGAAAGCGGGTCCCGATTCAACTCCCACCCTTAAAGAAGATACTAATTCATTACATATTTAAATAAAAATGTAAAACAACTCTTACTATTTTTTTACCAACTTTTCAACGTACATGCGCCTCCACACAAGATCTAGCACCTCTGTACTGAGGCTGGATGGCAGCAGGGGTATTCTTATTTTTACTACAAATAATACTCTTCTAATCTTCTTCTTAAACGGCTCCCGAACCCAATATATTGTCATTGTCAGTCAACCATTATTTGATACTCAATTCAGCTTCTTACCATTTTTCTATGCTTCTTTAACGTCTTACTCAATCAATGAGAGTCCCCTGACTCAAAAAGCTCCCTCATCTTTATGTTTAGTCGAGGATCCCATTGGTATGAGTTCCAATACAACACACACAAATAAAATAACATTAAAACAAAATTAATTACAATTTTTAACAAACAACATAACTTATTAATGCAATTAAATTAAATCTATTACCGAAAACAAAAACCATCATCAATTTCGTTGATCTTTCGTAGCATATTAATATGAATTTCATGGCCCGTGAAAATTCCTTGGAATTATTTCTTTAATTTTGCTCAACACATGTTGCTTAATTGCTGCATGTTCATTTTAAATATTATACACACATAGATTTTCAAATAAATGATTAAACTATTTTATATCAATCCATAAAGTCTACATTATGAAACTTTAATAAAAAAATATATAACAAATCATTCAATAAATGATTTAACTATTAGTTACAATTGATTTAAGTTCTTTTATGTATTTTCAGTTTCTTTTTAATAATGAAACATTTATTTTAAATAGTATACATATAGTATAAAACATTTAAATAGTATTATATTATTTATATTATCAAATACTAAAATATTAATTACACTGTTGATTATTTTGGATTAAACTATTGATTATTTTGCATTAAAATGTTATTGAACATTTTTATAATATCATACATTAAATATTATTGAACTGTTTATTATTTGCATGAGAAATTTGGATAAATATTTTGTTATGCATATAGTATAAAACATTTAAATAGTTTAATGCAAATAATAAACAGTTCAATAATATTTAATGTTTGATATTATAAAAATGTTCAATAACATTTTAATGCAAAATATTCAATAGTTTAATCCAAAATAATCAACATTGTAATTAATATTTTAGTATTTGATAATATAAATAATATAATACTCCCTTCGTATCTATTCACTTGTCCTGGTTTCTTGTTTGGGACGTATCAAATTAATTGCCTCATTCCCTTTTTTAAAAGAAACTTACTCAAAAAGCAGTTGCAGTACCACTACAGTACTGCTACAGAGTACCGCTACAATACCAAAATCTCTTACTTTTCATATAATCTACAGTAATTATCTTAAACTACGTAAAAAAGAAAACATGTAAATTAATTAGATACAGAGGGAGTATAAATTAAAATAAACTGTTGAATAAAATTTTAATTTGAAATATTTAATAGTTAATCTGAAATAATTTTTACATATAGTATAAAAAAATCAATAGTTTAATGCGAAATAAAATAAGTATTAGTAAATATTTTCATGTTTAGTAATACAAAACATATAGAATAAAATAATCTATTTAATGTGAAATATTAAGACATATGAAAACATACTCGCTCCGTC